TCCCCCTGTGGGATTTTATGGCATCCTGCACTACCACGTTTCGCCACCAGAGGGCGCCACTCAAACCCCTCGAATTTCGCGATTTTTTGGGGGGATTTTTTAGGGCAATTTTGGGGTCCCCCTGTATAATTTTGTGGGGAATTTTTATGGGGAATTTCTTTGGATTTTTGGGATTTTTTTGGATATTTTTGGGGGCAATTTAGGGGTTCCCCCTGTGGGATTTTATGGCATCCTGCACTACCACATTTCGCCACCAGAGGGCGCCACTCAAACCCCTCAAATTTCACGATTTTTTGTGGGATTTTTTTGAGGGCAATTTTGGGGTCCCCCTGTGGGATTTTGTGGGGAATTTTTATGGAGAATTTCTTTGGATTTTTGGGATTTTTTTTTAATATTTTTGGGGGCAATTTTGGGGTCCCCCTGGGGAATTTTTAAGGGTAATTTCTTTGGATTTTTGCGATTTTTTTTTTTATATTTTTGGGGGCAATTTTGGGGTTCCCCAGGACGGTTTTTGGGGTCCCCCTGTGGGATTTTGTTGGGAATTTTGTATGGAGAATTTCTTTGGATTTTTGGGATTTTTTTGGATATTTTTAGGGACGATTTTGGGGTCCCCCTGGGGAATTTTTAAGGGGAATTTCTTTGGATATTTTTGGGGGCAATTTAGGGGTTCCCCAGGACGGTTTTTGGGGTCCTCTTGTGGGATTTTATGGCATCCTGCACTACCACGTTTCGCCACCAAAGGGCGCCACTCAAACCCCTCAAATTTCGCGATTTTTTTGGGGGATTTTTTTGGCCAATTTTGGGGGTCCCCCTGTAGGATTTTGTGGGGAATTTTTATGGAGAATTTCTTTGGATTTTTGGGATTTTTTTGGGGGCAATTTAGGGGTTCCCCAGGATGGTTTTTGAGGTCCCCCTGTAGAATTTTGTAACATCCTGCACTACCACGTTTCTTTACCAGAGGGCGCCACTCAAACCCCTCAAATTTCGCGATTTTTTTGTGGGATTTTTTTTGGGGATTTTTTTGGCCAATTTTGGGGTGTCCCCCCCATATTTTTGGGGTGCCCCCACCTCGATTTTCTCCTCGATGAGCTGCTTGGCGTGGTCGATCTGCTGGGGGGTGCCGCGGATGACGAAGAGTTTGAAGTTGGGGTCCCCGTTGGGGGGCAGCTGCCGCGAGATCTCCACGAACGCCCCCGTCTGCTGGTTGATGGCCTTGACGTTCTCACCCCCTGAACCCCAAAAATTTTGGGGTCATGGGGGTATCCAAAAAAGCCCAAAAATCCCAAAAAAAATCCCCAAAAAATCCCAAAATTCCAAGTCACAGGGGCACCCCAAAACCCGCCATCTGCTGGTTGATGGACTTGATGTTCTCACTCCCTGAACCCCAAAAATTTTGGGGGTCACGGGGGTATCCAAAAAACCCAAAAATCCCCCCAGAAAATCCCCCAAAAATCAAAAAAAATCCCCCAAAAAATCCCCAAAAAATCCCAAAATTCCAAGTCACAGGGGCACCCCAAAAACCCAAAAAATCCTAAAAAGAAAAATCCCAAAATTCCAAGTCATAGGGGCACCCCAAAAACCCAAAAATTCGCCCAAAAAAATCCCCCAAAAATCCAAAAAAATCCTAAAAAAATCCCAAAATTCCAAGTCACAGGGGCACCCCAAAACCCGCCATCTGCTGGTTGATGGCTTGGATGTTCTCACCCCCTGAACCCCAAAAATTTTGGGGATTTTAGGGCTGGATTTTGGGGCCATTTATGGGGATTTTTGGGAGGGATTTTGGGGTTGTTTGGGGTTGGATTTTGAGGCCATTTATGGGAATTTTGGGGCCATTGGGGGAGGGACTTTGGGGTTATTTAGGGGGATTTTGGGGTTGTTTTTGGGGTTGGATTTTGGGGTCATTTCTGGGGATTTTGGGGCTGTTTGGGGGTTGGATTTTGGGGCAATTTGGGGCCATTTGGGGTTGGATTTTGGGGCAATTTATGGGAATTTTGAGGCTGTTTGGGGTTGGATTTTGGGGCCATTTATGGGGATTTTGGGGAGGGATTTTGGGGCCATTTATGGGGATTTTGGGACCATTTGGGGTTGGATTTTTGGGCCATTTGGGGTTGGATTTTGGGGCCATTTATGGGAATTTTGGGGCCATTGGGGGAGGGACTTTGGGGTTATTTAGGGGGATTTTGGGGCCATTTATGGCAATTTTGGGGAGGGATTTTGGGGTTATTTATGGGAATTTTGGGGAGGGATTTTGAGGCTATTTGGAGTTGGAATTTGGGGTCATTTCTGGGGATTTTGGGGTTGTTTGGGGCTGGATTTTGGGGCCATTTATGGCAATTTTGGGGAGGGATTTTGGGGTTGTTTGTGGGTATTTCGGGGTTATTTAGGGGGATTTTAGGGTTGGATTTTGGGGCCATTTATGGGGATTTTGGGGAGGGATTTTGGGGCCATTTATGGCGATTTTTGGGAGGGACTTTGGGGCCATTTATGGGGATTTTTGGGAGGGATTTTGGGGCCATTTATGGGGATGTTAGGGTTGGATTTTGGGGCCATTGGGGGAGGGATTTTGGGG